GGGGGGGAGAAGTGGGGCCTTTCCTTGGCCCCAGGCTGGTGACTCACTGCCAGACCCCCTCATCTGCTCCCCCCCCCAGCCCCTCTGTCGCAAGGTGCAGGGGTGGGGGCGGAAATGGAGGCCTGCCCTTGTGTTGCTGAGGAACAGGGAAGTGTAGAGTCCCACTGCGAGGTCGATTCAGCCGCGTTGGGAGTGGGGGGTCACCCCAGAGCACCCCCTGCCCAGGGCCGGGCAGCCCTGCTTGCCCAGGGCACCGCCCCGCTCGGGGGGCGGGGCGCAGGACGTCACCCAGCAAGGTGGGGCACTGGAGCGGTTAATGGGCAGCCCCCGCTGTGGCCAGCCAGGACCCATCTGGTCGGGCTTGTCCGATGCCAGCACCTAATGCCCTGCGGGGGAGAAGGAGAGGTCAGGGAGCCCCTGACACCCCCCCCAGAGGGGCAGGTTCCAGCCCAACCCCCATCCAGAGACCCCCTCCAACCATGACCTGGCGGGGCCACGGACCCCTGCTGGGTGGGGAAGGGCCCCGTGGCAGAGACGGATCCTGGGCGGGGACGAGGGGGCCCTCAGCACAGTGATTGACCCCGGGCGAGGCATGGAGGGGCCCCGCAGCAGAGACGGACCCCAGGCGGGGAGGGGGCCCCATGGCAGTGATGGACCCCGGGCAGTCAGAGGCCCCGTGGCAGCGACGAACCCCCAGTCGGGTGACGGGTTGCCCGGGCTGCCAGGCACACCCCTGGTGGGTGCTGGGCCCATGGACGCAGCTGGGACACACGTACCTCGCCCGGGGAGCTGGGCCTTGGCACAGGCACTGCCGACGGAGACCTGCAGCACCCCACTCGTGCTGGGTGAGGTCCGGCACAGCGCCAGCCCGTGCACCTGGCCCACGCTCTCCACCCACACATGTGCCAGCCCCCAGCACCTCCCCGTTCAGGGGGGCAGACACCTCGCACTCAAGCCGGGCCTCAGTGGGGGCCACCACCGCCACATTCTGCAGCCCCCGCAGCACCTGGAGCCTGCGCCCAGCCTGGCCCATGCAGCGCCCAGTGATACCCAGCCCCACGAACGGTGCCACCCCCCCCCCACCAGGGCCAGTCCCCAGCACGCCCTGCGCCTCACCCTCCACCAGCAGGCGGGCGGTGGAGCGGTCGTCAAAGGCGTCGCAGGTGTAGGAGGCCTCGTCCTCCGGCCCCACCCCGTGGATGATGAGGGTGCGATAGCAGTCGAGGTTGCAGATCTCATACTTGTCGCTGGCGAAGATCTCGGTGTCTCCGCGGAACCAGCGCACGCGGCCACGCGCCTGCGACACGGTGCACTCCAGCGTGGCCTTGTGCCGCGCCAGCGCCGTCTTGTCCCGCAGCGGCTTTATGATCCGGATCGGGAGTGCTGCCGAGGGGAGCGCCTGTGAGCCCGCGGGGAGGGGAGGGGACAAGCGAGGGGCTGGGGCCTGGGGGTCACCCCCACCTCCCTCCTCCGAAACCCAGTGCTAGACCTCCCAGCCCACAGCAAACCCCAGCTCAGCGCTCGCCCGGTCCTCAGCTGGCACCTGCCATCCACTTGCCCCCAGCCCCTTCCTCGCACACCTGCCAAGCCAGCCCCCTCTGCTGCCCACCTAGTCACCCCCCCAGGGCTTCACGGGGACACATTACCCTCCACCTGCAGGCTGGCTTCGGAGGCAGCTGCCTTGGCGACGAACCGGATGCATCCCGCGTCCTCCGGGCGCACGTTGCAGATGAGCAGGAAGTGCCTGGGGCCTGTGGAGGAAGGCGCTGGCGTGACGCCGTGCACCGTGGCTCAGCCATTGCAGGGGACTACGGGTGAGCAGCCCCCTGCCCTGGGCTGGGACAGGCAGACTGGGGAGGGGTAAGCAGGGAGATCTCCTTGGGGCTGGTGCCAAAACGTCTGGGGCTAATACAGGGCTAATGAAGAGCCCAAGCCTGGCTGGTGTGAGTGACACACAGCGCAGAGCAGCTCAGCCGGATTCTGGCACCCCCCACGCTGAGAGATGCCTGGGGCAGCAGGCAGTGGGAGAGGCAGGTATGTGTGTGTGTGTGCGTGTGTGTGTCACAGTGAACCAGTGTGTGCGTGTTCACATCACAGTCACCAATGTGGGTGTGTGCGTGAACTAGGCACCAGCGTGTGCATTCATGCACGTGCGAGAGAGCCAGTGTGTGCACCAGTGAGCCGCGGCGCTGCCCGTTCACCCAGCCTGGTGAGCACCCCCAGAGTGTCTGGTGGGCTGAGCAAAGCGAGGTCTTAGGCTTGTCTCCAGGCCGCCGTTCCTGCAACACGAGCGGGGGTGACACTAAAGCGCCCGAGCTCCCTAACGCGTGGACACGCGCAGCCTGGGTGTGGGTTGGGTTAATCCGGCGTGGCACCCTGCGTGCGGAGCCGGCGCGTCCACATGGAAAGCTGGTGTGCCAGAGCTGTCCTGGGCTGGTTCCCATGTAGACATGGCCTTTGGCTGTAAGGACCCACTGCCTCATGGCTGAGTGCCACCAGCCCAATTCCAGCCTGCTGGGGAGTGGTCTGTGCATGGATGGGCAGAACCCCCTGAGCTGGGTGACAAACACCACCGGGAAATGGACACACAGAGCGCCTGGCACCTGGCGAGCAGGGTCACAGCTTCAGCCACGTCTGTAACTGTGTATAGACCCACGAACCGGCTGGGGGCAGCCGCTGACATCTTCCAGCACAGCACACCCCCAGCTCAGCTCTGCCCCCTTTCCCCTGGAGTTTAAACCCTTGCCACCCAGAGTGACAGCTCATATGGTCCGTCTACACCGCCAGGGAGGTGCCAGTGTGGCATGGGATGGCAGAGCCCTGCCAGCGTTAGTCTGGCTAGCACGGGTAACAGCAATAGTGTAGACATGGTGGCACGGGCTAGCAACCCTCGCACAAGCCCCCCGGGGACCCAGTGTACATACTCGAGTGGCTAGCCCATGCCACCACATCTGCACTGCTGCTGGTACCCAGGCCAGCGAGATGAAAGCTGGCACGGGCACACCTACCCTGCTATAATCCCACCGTCTCTCCCAGTTAGACTTACCCTGGCAGACAGGGAAGAAATAAAGAAGTGGGAACAGCCATGCATACAGACCCCTGGTGGGGGAGAAATGGGGGGGTCACACAGAGCCCCTAATGGGGGGAGAAATGGGGGACACACACAGAGCCCTTGGCAGGAGGAGAGAAGGGGGACCTGCCATGGGGAGGGGGGAATTGGGGTCACACAGAGCCCCTGGCAGGAGGAGAGAATGGAAGACCCTGGGATGGGAGGGCATGGGGGAACCCCCTCAGGAGAGAAGGGGGACCTACCATGGGGAGGAGGGGAACGGGGACACACAGAGCCCCAGAAGGAGGGAGGGGCTAGGCTGTGTTGCAGGAGTCACTGAGGTTGCGGGATGGGGTGGGACACAGGGAGTTGGGGAGGGGGTTGGAGGAATAAATAAAAAAACAAATTAAAGGAGATAGCCTATCTTCTAGAACTGGAAGGGACCTTGAAAGGTCATCAAGTCCAGCCCCCTGCCTTCACTAGCAGGACCAAGTACTGATTTTTGCCCCAGATCCCTAAGTGGCCCCCTCAAGGACTGAACTCACAACCCTGGGTTTAGCAGGCCAATGCTCAAACCACTGAGCTATCCCTCCCCCCGGGAGCCCCAGGTTGTGCTGTGAGCTCGGCCTGCCCAAGCTGTGCGATCCTCTAGTGTCCGCGGGGCTCTGAGCGCGCTGCTCCAGTAGCCTCCCTGCGGTGAGTTAGAGTTAGGGTTAGGCAGGCAGAGCGGGACAGTGAGCAGCAGGGACACCAGGGCCCCTGGGAGCGGCCTGGCTGGGGGGAGGGGGGACACTCACCCTCTTGCCGAATTTTCACAGTGCTGGTGACTTTGATTTTCTCGCCACCCCTGAACCACTCGCCCTTCACGTCCTCGTGCGAGACCTGGCAGGTGAAGACGGCGTTCTCGTTCTCACGCACACGCACGTCCGCCAGCTCCTGCACAATCTGCACCTGGCGCTCTGCAAGGGGGACAGGGCCAGAGCGTGGGCCCCAGCGGGACAGGAACAAACCCCTGAGGTCTCCATCCCCACAGAGCTCTGCAGGGGCTGTGGTGTGACTAAGGGAAGCCCCATCCCCCAGCTCAGAGCCCAGGAGCCACCCACAGCTCTCACCCCGGGAGACCCCCCCAGCTCCCAGCCCCCCCCCCCCGCTCTCACCCCCAGGAGAACCCCCAGCTCTCAGCCCCCCCCCACTCTAACCCCCTGTCACGGAGTGTGGGGGGACTCAGGGCCCTGCACCCCCGGCTTCCTGCGATTCACCAGGACTCTCAGCCATCCAGTAAAGCAGAAGGTTTATTTAGACGACAGGAATACAGTCCAAGACAGGTCTTGCAGGCGCAGACAACAGGACCCCCACAGTTAGGTCCATCTTGGGGTCCCCGGGCACCCTAGCCCCCTTGGGGGATCAGAGCCCTGTCTGCCTCCCAGCCAAGGTCACCAGCCAGCTCCTCCAACTCTCTGCCTTCAGCGACCCCTCCCACAGCCTTTGTTCAGTTTCCCGGGCAAAGGTGTCACCTGCCCCCAGCCCCTTCCTGGGTTCTCATGTTACATGCTCAGGTATTCTCCTTCAGTCATTCACCCCTCCCCCAATGCAGACCATCCTAGCCACACTCCCCTGTCAGCATTCACAGACCACTTTAAGACCAGTCCCAGTTCGTCACACCCCCAGCTCTCAGCCCCCCCCGCTCTAACCC